AATGGTAGAAAAATAAAACATTTTTACATATGCACCTGAAACACACTATAAAGTCCAAATTTGCAAAACATTTAGCACATAAATCACACTTATTTTTCCTTCATATTAGTTTGAAATGATGATGCGGATTTTAAAAAAATCTCCTAGACATTAAAATATTTCTTAACAGGTACAGTCTGAGAAGCTAAATAGTCATTGGTGATTAAAACATCCAGGCAGCTTTCCTGGAAACAGCTACTTGTGTGTACCGTTGTTAAGGAAATCACTTATATGTACAATCCCATAGTTTCATAAAGTCGGAAAGTTAAATTCAACACAACAAAGGTAAATTCAACGCAACACTTCTAACCAAAGTGCCGGGCGGCAGGTAAGGGCTTGTTAGTGTCCTCCATATGCCATTGTTTAAACATATAAATTGTGTTCTCCATGTATGCACAGGAACCTCCCCCCACCCCCACCCACACAATGGCTTTGTGCATGAGGCAACATGCTCACAGAACTGAGCAATGATGTGTTCCAGCTTTATTACTGCCTACCTGAATGTCCCTGGGCAATTTAACCTCCCTTCAGCTTGCAATCTGCTCAACAGATGATCCCGTCTGGCTCAAAAGGCCAAAGATGTGGAGTCCATTCTCTGAATGCTAGGAATTCCTGTACTTGAGGATAGGGCAAACAAATGAGGCTTCAGATACTTTGCTCACTAATGCTGAACAAAAAGCCTGGACAGCAAGATGAGGAGAGGATTTGACTCCTGGGTGGGGTATCACTTTACTATAAACTCCACTCAAGGTGCTAATGTGGCACAGGGTAGATGCGAATAGACAAGCATCTGTATTCAGTTTATTGTGCAGCAGCTGCTCTTGTTCTTCTAAGAAATGAAGAGATTTGCAGTGATTGCCTCTTTCTGCTCTCACAAGCCTACAGTGGGATAATGGGAGAAGGAGAAAGAGAGAGGCTTTTCCCCAGTCCACCCAGTGACTGAACAAGGATTTGGACTTGGGTCTTGTGCATCTGTGCTGAACATTCTGCACAACTCACGACAATGAAGACAGAACAGTGTTATGCACCTCCTTGTCTCCATTATCACACCACTTACAATTCTCCTAAGGGATCCTGCAGAATTACAACCAAATTAACCCCAGCCTCAGTTTACTTCAGGAAGGCTCACATGCAGTGAGGGAGAGGCTTCTTCACCCCACCTCTCCCCACCCCCAGGACAAATAGCCCTTTTAGCATTAAGAGATGTGTCACGCTCAAAACAGATCGCTATGATCAAGCCGGCTCCTGGCTGAAGCGGAATGCTCCCAATCTATTACCCATGATTGTGACCCCTACAAGTGCCTGTTCTTTAGCTTGCCCTCCACATTTAGTATAACAAGAAGCTTCTTTCCAGAAGTTATTTGACGGAATTGTTTATTTTACCCAAAGATCCCAAAATAAAGCAGGTTAGCTAATGCCAAGGACTCCTTTCTCCAGTTAAACAACAACAAAAACAACTCTCTCACACACACAAGGCCAGGTTAAGAAAACAGACCAAGGGCAGAAATGGAGGCTCCAGATTCAAAGCATTTGATCCACCACCTCTTTCGTATAGCCTTCCATCAATATATCCTTTCTTCACAAAGAAAAGGGGTTCTTGAGAAACTAGCACAACACCAGTGGCAGCATTTCCCCATGTTGTTTTTGTCAGCACCCCAGAATTCAAAACAAGTGAAATTCCTCATCATGAAATGATGTCATCTGAAATGCTGGCTTTTAAAAATGTCAAACACTTTTTCGTGGGGGGATGAAACTTGAGATTTCAGTTCCAAAGGTTAAGTTTTATCACCAGGCACGCATTCAGAAAAATTTCTTGCTAAAATGGATACAAATGGTCATGCCTATCAAATGTGCCTAAAAAGGACAATCAGTTTACATACAGATTTTAGAACTAGCTTTCAAAATGAACTTGTGCAGAAAAAAGATAAATATACGAACTTGTGCTTGAAAAATGTGAATGACACAGAAAACAAAACAGATGGATTCATGCATATGTAGTGACAGCACACGGACTGCATAAAAATCCAAATTCAGATATGCAAAGGCAGGGATTGGCCAAGACACCAATGGGTATGCCGGCACCTGCTAAGACCTCTACAGCAGTCCCCAACCCTCTTACCTACTTGCATTCCATCCTCCCCTGTCCTCAGCCACAATTCCTACCACTCCACTGTTTATTCTTCTCTGTAAGGTGAACCCTAAGGAAGAAACAGGAAGTCAACACATCAGATCCCAATCTGCTGAGTTCCTGTATCAACCTTAGGGCTTCAGTGGGGCTAAAGTGAGGTAGACAGTGTATATGTCTCTCTGTGTGTAAGACAGACAGACAGACAGACCAGTTTGAGGTTGAGAAAGGTGTGTGTGTGTGGTGGGGGGCTTCTTGTGAGGAAGATAATGTGGCTGTGAGGATGATGGGTGGGTGTGTTTGAAAAGGAAGGGGTTAGTAGGCAGCTGAAGCAGAGGAGAGGGGGACAGAGAAGAATGGTCCAGGAAAAGTGGAAATCTCAAAAGTAGAAGTTTGCAGGCGAAAGCAACTAATGTGCCCACAGGTATGAAAGAAATTACAAATCTGCCCATGGGCCTGAAAAAGTTGTCTGTTTCTAAACAAAAAGAGTACAAGAGAGAATCTTCCTCAAATTCAGTGTAGAGTCTGTTTTTCTGAATTTTAAAATCGAGTCTGTGGACTGTATTCAAATAGTTAAATCTGTGAAATTAGCTATCTTTGAAGTACGGCACTATTTATATTTAAAGGAAATCCAAATGCTCATTTCATCTACCAGTTGGAAACCATACACTTCCAGGAGATTTGCAAACTTTGAAGTTCCCTGTGTACTTTTATTCTAGCTTTGTACTCCAACTAATTACATTTTAAATGAACCAAAAAAGTTTCAAACTTCTGAACGGTCTCAAAAATCCACATAGGTTCATCTCCACCTACCTAGATTGCTTATAAATGTATTAACTTGTGCTGCATATTTTCCCCAACAGTATGCAAGCATACCAAATTCTGGAAAAGGTGCTATGGACTGGCTCATCTATGCACATCACTGTCATTCCTCTTTTCCTTTAAAAATGTTTATCTCATGACTTCTGTGGCTTCATCAGGTTTATTATATTTTGAACATGACAGGCAGAGGTAGGAAGACAGAAACAGGATTTCTCAGAACATGTCTTACAAAGTCAACCTTTTTCATCAGAGGCCATACCTACACTAGAAGCTGGAGTAAGTTTTATTAGCTTTCCCTGCAAAATCCTAGGAATTATCGTTTAGTTAAAGTGCTGAGAATTCTCTACTGGAGGTCCCTAGATCCGCTCCTTCAGAAAAGCAGTCCTCTGGAGTCCAGTTTGGGCATTCAAAGAGCAAGGGTGGGAATGGAGTGGGGCCATGCAAGGCAGCCCTGCCCCAGTGTCCCTGCATGCACCAGGTCCATCCTCAGCCCTCCCACATGTGCTTAGAAGCCTCCTCCAGGCTGTGCAAATTGCTCAACTGCAGCAAGGATTCTAAGTTCATCGCGCACAAAGAATCACCCTCCAGACCGTGCTGCTTAACAGAGGAAAGACAGGGGTGGAGAAGACAGAGATGGGGAAGCTGGTGGTGGCATATAGAGCCCCTTCATACTTTATTCTCACACGTGCTCACCGAGTACCTGAATGAAGCTAAGATTCCCTGGAGAGAGGTGACAACCATTAAACCAGCATAGTTTTGTGCTGTATCTCCATCCTTGAAAATAAGGAAATGAAAGTGTTCCCTTCTCCATGTGGCTAGTCTATAAGCCTTTTAAGCAGTTTATTCATGTATTTTCCTCTTTTCTATATCACCCAATAGCCAAAGTTCTTTGGATGCTTTACCACAATTTTATGGGGAGACAATTCTCTCATAACTTTCCTGTTGTGAGTTAAAAGGGAAGGTGGGGGTTGTGTTGTTGTTGTTGTCTTGAAGCAGGGTTGGTGTCCTGGGGCATCTGGCAAGGCCCACATCACAGCAGAGGGCCTCTAATGATCCCTGGAGCCTCCGGGCCATGCAGCTCCTCTTCTTCCCTGCTCTTGCTGTCTGTTCACTGGCTCTCTCTGATGAATGAGCAGTGACAGCAACAAGGAAAAGAAGCACCTGCCATGCTTACCTTTCCCAGTGAGCCGCAGTGTGTGTTGGGCCACGAGGGAAAAGGTGAGCCAGTGGAAAGGCAGGCAAGCAACCCACTGAAAGCATCTCGCCCTGTGCCTTCCAAAAACTTGGGAGTGAGCACTTGTGTTAAGCCCTGTAAACCTTTGCCAGTCCTAAAATACAGGTCGGTATCATGTAATATCAATCATTTGCCAGTGCATGCACACAGTAACCACATCCCAACCCACCTTACCTCTGAGCTGACAAGGTCATTCAGGGCATTGATCACTTTTGGTCCTGTGATCTTCAGATTAGTCACTACTTGGCCAGATTCTCTTCAATACACAAAGTATTCATGTGTTAACTAAAACAAATTGATCTTGCTGTGATTTGGTGGGTTTATGTTTCCCCCCTCCCCTTTAGATGTGTCTTTGCCCTTTTATACTGCACTGGTTGGGCACTTGTGCCTCTTCAGGGTTTTGACCCACAGCTCCCATCATCCTTAGCTAGCACAGCCAGTGATATAAGGGATGATGGGAGTTGCAGGCCAAAACATTTGGAGGACCTCAAGTTTCCCATTCCTATTTTACATTGTAGCAGCATCTAAAACAGGGGTCCTCAAACTTTTCCACCAGGCCAGTTGAAAGTTGCTGGCGCTGGGTGTGGGCCGGAAAGGTGGTGCCGGCAGTGCACGTGGGCCGGTGAGGGGGTGGGGCAGGGGTGGCGCATGTGGGCGTGCAGCGAGGCAAGGTGAGGCGAGGCGAGGGCGGGCACACGCCTCGAGGCAGCAGCTTGCTCGTTTGGAGATCATTTTCTCCGAGCGAGCAAACCATTGCCTCCCTGGGCGCGGGGTGAGGTGGGCGGCAGTGGGTGCACATGCGGCGGGTCCAAATGGGCATGGCGGGCTGGATCCGGCCCCCGGGCCATTGTTTGAGGACCCATGATCTAAAATGTCATGTTGAAATGTCATGGTGGAATATGAATTGTACAAATCACTAATTTTGGATGCAAACATATCCAGGGGACTGCAGGACTGGGGAAAAGATTTCAAAGCAGTTTTAAGAGAGAAATAATGCTGAAGGGGAAAAAATTGGAATCGACAAATGTAGAAATGGAAACACAAGCTCTAAACAAATGCCCCATTGATATTAGCAGAACTTTTCAATCCCTCTTTAAGATAGTAGCCTCAGACTTGGATATCAAGCAACAAGGTAGGCTGCTAGTGTAATATAAAATATATATTATATATAGAACCCTGGTGTAATATCAAATATATATTATATATAGAACCCTAAATAATATATAGGACTGAAACAGGAAAGGGAGAGCCTGTGAGGTTTTATTTTATTTTTTATTGCATGACTTCATTCAAATGCTGTGAGAACACAACTGACTGTAAAGATATCTTGGGCATAACCTTTAAAACTTGTAACATTAGAAGGATGAAAAGATGGCAGGGGAGAGAAGCAAGGGAAGAGCATGTGAAATGCAGAGATCTGTCCATACTTGATTACCCCAGGAGAATTATTTTGGACTGGGATGCTAAAGACTCACTTATTGTTTACTCATCTGATTTATACACTGACCAACTGAAGTTGCCCTTGGAGTGCTTTACAGTAATTAACGTCCAAACTAACAGTAAAACAACCAGTGCTGCATCTCTGCAAAGTTCAGTGGTTTATTTCACCTTCTGGCCTTCAGAAAACTACTGCCTGTCAACACAACCTATCTTGAAAGACTGTTGTGAGAAGAAAAGATCTGAGAACTGGGAAGCACTTTCTATTTTGAATAGAATTCAAGAATTAAGGATGCATATTCAAAAGATAACTCAGGACCGTGGTTGCTTGGGCACTGGAAGAACTCACCTCAGTGCCCTGGAACTGGAACTGCACACATGGTAATATTAAGTTGGAGAATACAGTGTCTTAACTCTGACCCACTCTACAGATCTCTTAGTAGAAGCTGAGGATTTGGAAAACTGTTAAATCTATATTTCATTTATTGTGAAGAGCAAGGATTTGGCTTTCTTTGCTTTTCTGGTTTTTTGTACTTGCATTCCATCAGATGGTGTTTCATTCCATCCAACAGTGGAACTTCTGTTCCGACTTCTAATCTGCCTCAGAGGAGAGGCTTTCTTTTTTAAAAGAAGGTAAAAACTCCCTCCCTGCATGTGCATTGTCTTTAAAACGTGCATTTTAGTTCACCCTAAAAGAGTGAAATATCAAGTTTTAACCCTATCTTATCAAAGGGTAATATTTAAGTTGTCTGTAATTCCATATGATAATTGATCTACAGAGTGACCTATAACAGAACCTCTTCGGTTGATTTTAAAAACAGTGGCTCCAACACGGAGATTACAAAGTGGCCTATTAGGCTGAAGATTCCCTTAGATGTACCTGGACATATGGCATTGTCAGTAGTTAAAGAATGTGCATTTAAGAAATTTTGCAAGTTCACACATGACTCAAAGAACACACACATTTGAAGACTTTGGGCATAGAGGAAGACAAAATTCAATCCCATCACCTCAAGCAGGTGACTGATGCTTTTGATGGATTGATGGATCTGGATTCAGGGATCTTACAGGGATCCACCCTATTCTTGTAGCTCATGGAGCATGAAAGCTAAAACAAGATCCATGAATCCCACTACCACATGAAAACCAGCTCTGCTGAATTGCAGCTCAAATGTGGGCATAAAGAATGCTTGTGATTCAGAACAAAAGTACTGCACAAGCACTCAAGATTTTGTTGGATTTGTGGGAGGTGGGTTAGCACACTACAATGTACTTAGAAAATTTTACACCCTAACACCTGTCAATTAATTGTAAAGAACAAGAAAGCAAACCAGGATATGAGCATATGTATAAGTTAGCTGAACATAAGTATGTAGGAAAGGAAAGTCATTCTGGAGGAAAAAATAAAACCAAAAAGACCGCCCCTCAACAACAAAACAACAAAAAAAAACCATTCCAACACTATGCCTTCCATTCGTTTGCTGTGTTCAGCAAAGTATATCTCAGTTCAATTTGGCTTAAGAGAAGTATCAAGTGAATGGTTCTCACTGATACAGAGAAGGATTCTCCGGTACTCTCATGGTGCCCAGCATAAATGTGCTCACAACAGCTTCATTATGAAAGGCGATGTCATGCGCTAACTTTTCTTGGCTTTTTACCTTTTCTTCAAAGGACTGGCTAAGGGACACTTTGTTCTGCATGCATATCAACATCTGAGCATTGGCCTTAATAGCTATGAGTTAAAGGATTTTTCAGTGTTTAGACTAGACTGTTTATGGTACATGTGAATTTGGAAGGAATTTACCACAGTGGAAGCTTTCTCTTGCTGGCTTGGGGGTAGGGGCCAGGACACTGCTGCCCAACATATCTGGAAAGAACCAGGTTGGGGAAGGAGCTTAGCTCAATAATGCCCAATTCAGAGTTGAGCATAGCACCAGGAAGCATTCTCACTGTATAGCACAACACAATTTGCTCAGCATTGCCTCTTCCCGTTAATAGATTAAATATATAGATTTTGCAGGTTCAGTGGATTTTTCATTTATGCATTTAAGCTGATTTGTAACTCTGCCAGGATACATTCAGAACTATTCTCTCTCCACATCTAGTCAGCCTTTGGAAATTAATAGGCAAGATGTAAATGGTTCATTTTTATCCCTCCTATAATGCATGGGCTTTTGTGGGGATTTGTTGAGCCATTTATAGGATTACATATCTTCTTCATTTTGTACGCAAAGAGTTTCTGTTCATTCAAACCAATGTTTTCTAAAGCAGAACATTTTTCAGAGATATTTTGGTTCATGGAAAGCGACATTTTCTTTTCTATCCAAACTCTTGGTATTCTAAACCTTCTGCAGATTTACAGCTGCTCCTACATTGATTGACATCTGCTTAGGCATAAGTGACTAGGTACCCTCCAGATGTTTTGGCCTACAGCTCCCATCATCCCTCACCAATGGCTATGCTGGCTGGAAGTAATGATAGTTGTGGGCCAAAGCATCTGACAAGAGTTGCCATTCCTGGTTCACCCTGGCTCTTAGCCCACTTTGAATGATATTCTGGTCCTTCCATCTTTCTGCCCATCCAACACACCTGTAACACTTCGACATTTCAGCACTTTTTTGAATATAATTTTGAATAGGATATCCATGTATAAAATCCACTGTGCATTCAAAATGTGAGAAGCCATTTATGCAGGTGGAGTCCGCTGGACTTTACATACATACACTCTAGCTATGGTATAGATTATCTGAATGTTCACTGCACCTTTTCATATCAAGTGCCTTGTTGTGTACCAATGACAAGGTACAATTACACAGTCAAATCCACATTACTGAAAAAGAAAGACTATACCCGAAACATTAATAAAAATGCGAACAGTTTAAAAATAACCAAAACAAGTTAAAAAGCAACCAATTTAGAAACACTAAAAACCAGCAGCAAGGACAGATCACCATAACAGGCCCAAAGCCTGCCTAAATAGCAAACAAAGAAGAGACCAAATGCCCTGCCGAGGAATGCAGGTCCTGTCCCTGTCCCGTTCCCTATTCTCTGTCCCACGTGCCTTGCATTTTGGCAGGATTCAGAGAAGGACATGACTTGAAGAACTGAAATTCCATGGGCTGGTACTGAAACCTTCAACATAAAATCAAACATCAGGCCCACCTGTGGAAAGCTGGGGAACCCTAGCTGGGTTTGGCATCTGCACACAATTCCTGGAGTAAGAAGGACTGTGCTTGCTGGTTCTGCCCAGTGTGTGACATCCCCGACATCCCGGATTGCTACCTTCCATGCCTTTGGCTAGGAAAGTGTGAAGCAGAGGAACTGCTCTGCACAGCTTGCCAGGCTCTGGACTAAGTAAGGTCCTAGATTCTGTGGCAGCTGACCCACACGAAACAACCTCCTCGCTCTAAATCTTCTTCCTCCAAATAGAGCATGGCCTCTCCCCCTGTTGAATGCCCTACCTAGGAAGAAAGCAGAAAGAATATCTTTCAAGAAGAACTTTCTTATCTGATGAGAATCTTTTACATGTTTGGAGAAGGCATGACTTTCCCCACAATGAAAATAAATGGAAGAATATTTTCCTCTTCTGAAAAAAGAAAGCAAGACAGACAGACAGACCAGACAGGGAAAATACTCATTGAAGAAGTAACAATTTGCTGAAAAGCAGCTATTGTCATGCAAAGTGCTCTATGTTGAAAAAAATAAGGCTAAATATAAATCCAATGCACATGTTTACAATGCCAAAATACAGGTATGCCTAATTAGATATGTTTAAATATTTCACCAGCTGTGCTACTATGGTTAGATTTTTTTTAATTCAGGCAAAATGTACCTGGGAAGAACACAGTGCTAATTTAACAACTTCATCCCTTGCCATCACATCAGACATATGTGTATTATTATTTAGGGAGTCATGTTTTCAGTAATGGCATCCAATATGTACATAATGATATCCCTTATAGAGGGTCTAGTCAAATAACATTCCAGTGTGTGGCGGCCACAGGGAAACCACATGAAAAGTCTACATGAGCCTGTGACATGCAAGCTGCTGCATTCACCAGCACATGTAGCATTGGATACCAATTTCCCATACTTCCCAACACTTGCTGAACAGTTGATCCTGTGCATGGGAACGGCTGCACATCATGATATTCTCACACCTTGAAAAGCACTGTCCCTAGTGGTTTTTCTGTAAACACTACATGCCCACCTAAATTGGATGGGGGTCGCAGGCATCCTATGGCCCCCATGGCTGTTCTTGCTTCACCTCTCCTGCTGAATTTGTCACAGAAGTGGAGGCAAAAGAGATTTTGCAGGAAAACAAAGTGTTTAGGGACAGCTAGTCTTGCTCCTGGGAACCTCCTGGAGAGGCAATTCTGCTTGTAAATGAGACCTGCACATTTGCAACACTACAACAATTTTGGGCTGGTGACAGCAATTTCAGCAGTACAGGGCAATTTTGGGGTCAGCAGTGAGGAGGGAGTGCAGCCAGCTGGGGGCTGGCAGCACAACTCCCTAAATTAACCCTTCCCTTCTCTACATAAACCCAGATTTAAGAGGGAAAATAGCATTGCCTGCATCATTGCTGGCAGGCTAACTTCTGGAATCCCAGATAAATGCCAACAGACCATTATAACCTCAGGGCCTTTGTCTCAATAAGTGCTTTCAAAAGTGTTTGAGAAAGAGTGTAGAAACACAAATCTATATCCAGAGGTACTGTTATGTGGGAGCTTACAAGTACACTGGGAAAAAGAAAGGACTAAACAAAGTCAACAGCAAGGAACAAACTCAACTTGTCTGATATGCCTCAGGTTATTTAATTATTAAACAAAACTCAACTTCAATAAAATAAGTACTAAGCTTGCAGCAGGGTTACTTCTAACCGATCAGCCAAAAAGAAAATGACCATAAATTTGTAAGCAAACCTCTGTAAGTAAAAGGGTTGGGTGCTTTTTCTTGGTGGTGGTGTGGACTACAACAATATTTGCAAGAAAAGCTGCAAATTCAGGGTGGACTGCAATATCTACAAGTGGAGCTGCCCCAGAGACTCCCCACAACAGCAATGCAGAATGAGAGGTGAAATGCAGAGAATGGACTAGCACTTGAAACAAAAATTTTACTTTCCACAGACATTCCTCATGCTCTAAGTCAAAGGTTTGTTTTGATATATGGGTCACTGGCTCACAAACCCCTTTTCTCTAAGGGTTGCTTTGCTTTCATTTGATGTACTACCAAGCCTATCAGGTAACTTAACCTTTCTTGAACTTCCCATGTTGTTTTCAATTTAAATTATTTAAATGGTACACTTACTTTCCTCAAGTTCTTCCTAGGCTCACAGATCAAGCTTAAAAAAAGAAACCACACAAATGTAAATTGTCCACTTGTTGAGTTTTCTTGAAAATGCATGAAATGAGCCTTATAAGAGTTAAAAATGAAGTGGGTAAAAGGCTGGGGGAGAGAAGTGTTTTCCTGCAACAACAATAACAACAACAAAAGCCATTCACAAGCTTGTGTCTCCATTCTGTTTGCACTCTGATAAAATACTGAGCGTCATATCCTCACTTTTGGATTGCACGTTGAGCTCGCTTCGTCTCGAGGCTTTTCTTGTTGCTCTTGAGAGCCTTCTTCGAAATGTATCTCCTGCCAAAAAATATAGAATAGGATCCACACAGCTGTTGAGACTCGCCAGCCCCCGAGTTACTTGGTAAGTGGCATAAACCCTGTTGTTAAAGGCACACATTTCTGGAGTCTGAAAATCTAGCCTGGCTCGTAGGTTCAAGTTTTTCATCACGTGAAAAGGAAGATAAGACACAGCAAATACTGCCAACACTATAATAACCAGATAAATGGATTTTCTCCTAAGGGGGGAATTGTCTAAATCTTTGTAAATCAGTGCTTTCACAATTAATCCGTAGCAACCGAGAATCAGGATGAACGGAATGCAGAACAAGAAGATGGTGGTACACATGCTGTAAATGAAGTAGCTTCGCAGATAATTATCTACTGTCGTGTCATAGCAAGCCATGGTTTTCACTTTCCTTACCTCAGTCCCAGAATAAAAGAAGATAGGGGAAATTCCAATGACTACAATGACCCAGACCAGGGCACTGATGTAAACTGCATTCTTTTTTTTCAGCCTCCCTAGTGACTTTAAGGGGTACACCACACCCGTATATCTGTGCACGCTGATGCAAGTGAGGAATAAGATACTTCCATACAGATTGACGTGGAAGATGAACCTCTGCAGTTTGCACATGAAGTCTCCAAAGATCCAGTCGGTCTGGTTGAAATAATAGAAGATCAGTGCAGGGAGAGTCAGAACATACAAGAAGTCAGCCAGTGCCAAGTTGAACATGTAAACCGAGATGCCGCTCCAAGGCCTCATGTGGAAGACAAACATCCATATGGCAACACTGTTGCCCAGGAATCCAGTGATGAAGACTACAATGTAGACGGCAGGCAGGTAATAGAACTGAAAGCCAGTTTTGGTCAGCGAACACTTGCCAGTGACATTGCTGGTGACATTGCTGACCAGCGAGTGAGTTTCAGTCGCATTCAGAACAGCGGACAGAAGGACTTCAGTCATGGTTACTCCAACAAAATCACATGGATGGATCCAGAGGTCTGATAATCAGCAAGTCCCTCTGTGGGAAAAAAGAAAGCAACTAAGCTGCAGCAATCAAAGCAGAAAACGACCAGCCTTCACTTAATGTTTTCATGTTCAGCAGTCGCCCAACACCATTTTCCCCAAACAGTGGTGAAATAGTGAACCTATTATAAGTCTGCTTCTTTGGTGCGCTGGTAATTCTCCCAGTTTCATCCAAGTATTTTAGCTGTGGAGAAAGACCCTTGCGAATGGTTAGTTGCAAAATACTATCAAGCATCTTTGCTCAACTTTGTGTGTTTCTCTGCACAGCAAAGCACACTGATGCAACATACTTTAGCAGAAGGCATGAGCTATTCCTATGAATAAAGCTACTCAAATAAAAGTTTTGTTTTTGTTTTGGACAAGGTATCTTACATTCTCAGCTGGAATCTAGATGGAAAAGAAGAAGCATCATCTGCAGATTCTGCCACCCAAAGCTACAGTACGTTGGAACTTCTTCAGGGAACTAGGAGGACTGCTTCTTCGATCAGCTTTTTCTGCACTGTGGACACTTTACATCCCAAATGGGCTTGCTCTCAGAAGGAGCCAAAATATGGAAGTGACTGCAAAGGCCAAATGGGAGCTGAACAAGATGTGATGGAATCCAGAGTAGATGAGAAAGACAAAGTATACTGAATTTATAAAAATGGAAAAGGGGTGGGTCTGAGGTTGCAATCATGAAAATAGTGCAAACATTCCACATATATGGTTCAGCATGTAACAGCTGTTATCTTCTCTTCACAGCATTTTTTCCACTTCTAAAAAGGCATTGTTTGACCCTGAACTGAACATCATTAGTAACATCATGAACTGAATACAACACCAGCCAAACTGGGCACCTTCAAAGTTATAATTAACTTTCTTAGGCATTGTTATCCTAGGGAATATATTTTCTTTCTTGTTACAATTAGAGGAGTAATAGTTTTATTTGCCTAAAAAAAGAAACATTTGGAAAAGGTAGGGGAAGTGGATGATGTCAAGTAATCATCTCTAAAAACATGAACCTGTGTTCCAGTAAAAGCAAGCTTTGGGTTTCTTTCAATATAAAATGCAAGTTTACTCAATTTTTTTTGAAATGAACTGGAAGAAGAACCCCAAGAGATCAGACGGAGCAAAAGCCTGCTGTTGTTCCCCAGTAACCTGTTTTCTGAAACTGGAGGAAGCATATAGCCAAAACAGTTGTTATAAAGTTGCATATTGTGAATTTGTCTAA